ACAAACATTCCTGACTTCAATAAAAAGCTCACCGAGAGCTTTGCCACTCAGAAGGACAGAAGGGCAAAATTTCTGTACAAATGAGGTATCACACACACACACATGCATCCACTTGATCTTTGTATAAAGTTGACCTTGGCACAACACTCCAGAAATATTTAACAGTGTAAATTTCTGGCATTTTGTCTAAGTAGTGTTTACTACCATTACTGTAACAGTGACCTGCTCGTAATTTTTGGTGTTCACTCAAATGTTGAAATTAAACAAAATGTTTTTGTTACTTGCCTCTTGCATTGCCTATTTACCATTTATGGTCATGTTATTTTATGTGCAATTTAATGCAGTATTTTTCAACCTTGGTCTGCAAGGCAGCGTGCCAATAGTCAGACACACCTGGATTAATCAGTTTGTCCAATGATGTAAGACAGGAAATAAAAGAGCTGTGCTTAATTCAGGAAATAGTGAAGTTGTGCACAAAGCTCAGAAAGCACAAGTTTGTTTAAAAAAAAAAAATAGCACAGCCCCACCAAAAATATTTTTCACCAGCCGCCACTGTTCATGACTGCACTCCTCTTCAAGAAAGAAACTCCCGGAATCACCCTGCCTGCCAGCCACGCTGCTCACCCTGACCGCCTGCTCTCCAACGCTCACCTGCCCCGCTCGGATACTTTGGTTTCCTGCGCTCAGCTCCCAGCCATCATCTGTGCCCCTCACAACCATCTCGCTCAGCCAGACCTGACTCGCCCTCCTCTCAAGCTCCCCAAATGCTCTGGAAACCGTAAGCCTCCTCTCACCCCGTTTATTTGTATTTTCCTGCAACTACTCATCATTGTCTCTTAGGGTTGTCACGGTATGAAAATTTAACCTCACGGTTATTGTGACCAAAATTATCACGGTTTTCGGTATTATTGCGGTATTTTTTAAACGGTGTTGCATATGTTCAGAAAGCATTGATGGTCCTGTTCTACACAAACTGAAATAGTTCTGAAAAGGTTTAACAGTGTTTATTAAACCTAAAATAACACAAAGCCTTAGCAAAAGTGCAACTTTTCACAAGTAAAGGAACAAATAGCTTCTTTTTCTGGAACTTGTTACAGTAGTCAGTGCAGGTTTAAATTATACAAATCCAAACATTCAAAACATAAACAATATGTAAACAAATCAAAGAAACACCACTTGTTTTCTCATATACTTGTTTTATTCATTATCAAAATGCAAATCTAAAACTCCAGTCCACACTTGACTTGAGCACTGTACAAGTCAACCTTAAAAAATATGTATTTAAAATAAATATCCACTTTAAACAAATTACTAAAATAACTACTACACTATGTAATCAAATCCAAATGTTCAAGTATAAATGGCATTGAATAAGTAAACAAATCAATGACAAGGAACTAATTGTATATTTCTCTTCATCATCAACAAATAAGATGCTTCATCCAGCAACAGGGTGTCCGTGACACGGTTTAAATGCTGGCAGAGGACGCTGCGGCTGCAGTATATAGTGACTCATTGCATTCTCTCTCAACCAAAAGTCCTCACGTCATGCATTTAAGCTAAAATGCTAATGTTAACTTACCTTGCACTGGCTGTAGAGACGTGGGTGATGGTCACGCAGATGTGCCATTAGATTCGAAGTGTTGCTGCCTTTTGCAGACACTTGTTTCCTGCACGTTCTGCAAACGGGATAGCAGTCTTCTATTCACTGTCCCTCAGCATTTTTCAGAAATCCAAAATATGCCCATACTTCCGATTTAGTCTTCTTTGAGGGCTGATGGATGTCCTGGGCGCTGCCGTCTCCTCCTTCGGCCATTATTTCAGCTTCAAAGTTTTGGTGCCGTTGCAAACTAAAAAGTGCGCGCCGCGGGAACTTCAGCTGAAGCGACGGTGGCTGGTAAGGGTCACCGCGCCGAAACCGCGGCCACGGTAAACCCACCGAGATAATTTAGTTTTTTAAAAACTGGACGGTTATTTTTATTGTCAACTTTTTTACCGGGGTTTACCGCTATACCAGTTACCGTGACAACCCTATTGTCTCTGCTACAGAACGCTATTGGACACTCCCAAACCCCAGACCTTCAACTGCACTTCTACCAAACAAAATCAATACTTTTTTTACTTACCTTTGCCTCTGTGGTGATTCTACATGTCATGGGTCAAAAAACTACAGCCCAACATGACATTGAACAAATAAACAATATGACCTGTGGTACAACATATACACATTGTGTGAGTGTCAGAGCCAGACTATAACCTATTTGGTCTTCTTACCACTAAATCACCCCAAGATAACTCTCAACCGGTTTAACGCCGACATTGGTTTGGTTTACATGTCAATATTAGTGTTCACAGATCGACACTTGCATAGTACCATGAGACCTGTATTGAAGAGACAATGAACTTTGTTATCTGCAGCAAAGCTTTCTTTACATCAAAGAGTATGCCACTTGAGTTTCTCATCAAACCTCGCACCACAGCAGCCATTTCGCTAAGACATTTTGCCGTTGGTTCTATGGTGACCGTGGCATTGCAGAGATTGTCCATAGTACATGTAAACCATAACTCTTATTGTTCATTGGGCAGCGATTCATCTACAGGATTTGACATGGGGTCGACATTCTCTCCTGGTATAACTTCCAACACATTTCAAAATGTTGAGATTGCGTTGAATGTATCATACCACACAGCCATAGACTCAAGTCCATACTTATGAGAGCACCATTTGAGCACCTGTGTGTGTACACGCGCTTGTTTATGTAAGATTTCTCTATAGGAGCATCCAATAGAGAGTGTGAGGGGTCACAGATCTGCCCCCTACAGATGTGCAGAAGACGGGGGGAGCTCCAAGCCCCAGAGATCCAGGAGTTGCCCCAGAACACAGGAACCCCAGGGAGGCTGCAACCAGAAAAGCCCCCGCTCCCCTCGAGAGGCGCAGAGGATCGCCCCGGGGGGCCACAACCAGCAGCCGGCAGGATCCCGGGAGATATCGGCGGCAAGCCCACAGGCCCACCCGCAGCCTCCCACCCCTTAGCTAGGGATGCACCGATGGATCGGCATTTGATCGTAATCGGCCGATAGCGCCCCTATCGGTTTTGATCGGAATTTTCAAAATAGATCAAAGCAAACCGATCAGGTAGGGTTGTCACGGTAACCAGTGTAGCGGTAAACCCCGGTAAAAAAAAAAAAAAAGTTGACAATAATAATAACCGTCTTGTTTTAAAAAAAAACTATATTATCTTGGTGGGTTTACCGTGGCTGCGGTGTAGGCGCGGTGACCCTTACCAGCCACCGTATCATCGGCTGAAGTTGCCGGCGGCACGTGCACGCTTTGTTTACAACAAAACTTTCTTGAAGCTAAAGCTGAAATAATGGTCAAAGGAGGAGACGGCAGCGCTCAGGAGGACATTTATTATCCCTCAAAGAAGACAAAGTCGGAAGTACGGGCATATTTTAGATATTTGAAGAATGCCGAGGGAGTTTATAGAAGACGGACGGACGGCTATCCTGTTTGCAGCGCGAGCAGAAAAAGTGTCTGTGAAAGGCAGCAACGCTTCAAATCTCATGACACATCTGCGTGACCATCACCCACAACTCTACAGTCAACGCAAGGCAAGTTAACGTTAGCGTTTTAGCTAAAATGCGTGATCCGAGGATTTGGGTTGAGGGAGAACGCAACGAGTCGCTATATAAAGCAGCCGCAGCGCCGCTACCTGCATATAAACCGTGTCGCGGACACCGCCATGTTGAAATGACGCTATGCATTACGGGGCTCCCAGGGGCAGATAAGAGTTGGTCTCTCTCCGAGAATAATTATGAATTTAACAACGATTACTGCCTGATGACATTTTCCCACATCTGCAAAGCTCACTGGAAGGACACAAACCGAGGACAATATTCTCCTGATATAGGGTTTATTACTCAAGTAAGGGTAAAAAAGTATCTGATTAGAAGGCTACTTGAGTACTAAGTATCATCTGATCTAATATTTTTAAAATGATGACATCAAACAGACATAAAATAAGAAGTTATGGACAAATATTGGTATTTTAAAGGCTAAAGGGGAAAAATGTAAACAAATGAACAACATAATTACAAAATAACACATTTTAGGCAAAATTTAGACACAAACTGAGGACAATATTTCCTGACATACAGGGTTTATTTAATTGTGTGAAAATGTAGCACGTTTAAAAAAATACCGCGATAATACCGAAAACCGTGGTAATTTTGGTCACAATAACAGTGAGGTTAAATTTTCACACTGTGACAACCTTAATACAGACCATTTTAGATTAGGTTACATTTCCTTTATTCCCAGATTATGTGGTTTGTAGCACTCATTATAATGTTGTAGAAAATTTCTGGCCAATCCACGTGATCGGTATCGGTGATCGGTAACGGTGATCAGCATTCTTTGATATCGGTATCGGTGATCGGCAGCAAAAAACCTGATCGGTGCACCTTTAGCTGGCCGAGCCCGGGACCCAATGATCCGGGGCCTAGGGGCGACCACCCACGCCGGGGACCCAGCAGAGCCCAGGTACCCAGACCCCACCAGGCAGCCACCGGGATTGGTCAGGCAGATGCCAAAAATCTTAAACTCCCTGACCCGGGAGCCATGACCCAGGCAGACCAAGGCACCGCACTCCACACCAGGTGTGGCAGGAAGAGGGGAGACGAAGATCTATATCTCCAAAAGAAGTCCCTTGATGAACTCCAACCAGTCGAGCTGCTGATACACCTTGGATCGGAGTGTTATCCACTCGTCGGCAACTTTGTCCACCTGCACACCCGCATCTTCCAGGACAGGCTTGCAGTGCCCTACCAGGATGTCAACGGCTGCATCTCCAAAGTCTGAAAAAAATAAAAATAAATAACAAAAATGTAATTATAAAAAACCTTCCTCTTTAAAAACCAAGGGTTGTCCTAGCATTACCTCTTCATTTTAAAAAAAAGTGCTGTGATGAAATCACCATATCAAAGTAAAATGAGGCAGTTCATAAATTGAAACAAAAAAACCAACCTGTTATGTTTACTTTGTCAGGCCAGAACCCAAAATCTGCCATGTTTGTGGCATGAAGTACCCCTCCTTTCACATGCCCAAATCGGTTCTCCATGTTGGCCACCAGGTCATCAATGAGATTTGGGTGTGATGACTGGAATGATCGACTGTCGCCTGAGAGTTCCCTCCCGTTAAAGGTCATGTTGTTCCCGAACAAATGTAGCATGGGACCAGGCCTACAAAGTAAAAAGTATTGGTTAGTCTAACACAATATAGACTGCTATAAATTTTAACTATTAATATGTTTAGAATACTACTTTTTAACATTGTCTATTTCAGATACTGTTGATGGAGACTCCACCAGTGCTGTAGAAGATCAAAACACAGCCTGCTGAAATTTATATTTGTTACAAAATGATTATATAAATGTTCACAAAGTTAACTAGAAAAATTGCATTTATTGCACAAATGCTGTTTGAATGCTGGATAGCTGAAGCTGCTGAACAGCTGAGCTGAAGCTGAAATTAAGCTAAACTGTCAAAATGAGCTGAATGTCTTGAAAGATGTAGAAGCAAAAAGCATCAACAAGCAAATAAAGCACAAAAAGTATGTGAAGAATAGAGAAAAATAATGCTAAATAGCAAAAACACGTAAATCTGTGAAAATTGTATAAAAATCTGGACAGCTTAAATGTCTAAACACCTGTTATTTCAGTTTGCCAAGGTTAACAGTTTAATCTTTACATTTAGCTGAAATGTGAAATTAGCAGCTTATGCTAAATTTGGTAACTGATTGCTGAAGTTGTTGAACAGCTGAACTGAAGCTGAAACTAAGCTAAAGTGTCAAATGAGCTGAATGTAGTGAATGATGTGAAAGCAAAAAGCACCAAAATGTAAATAAAGCACAAAAAGTGAAGAACGGAGAAAACAATCCTAATCAGCAGAAAACTGAAATCTGAACATGATTTAAAAATCTGGACAGCAAAAATGTCTAAACACTTGTTGTTTGAGTAGGACTAGTTTAACAGTTTAATTTTTATATTTAGTTGAACTGTGAAATGAGTAGCATAAGCCGAATTCAGAAACGGATTGTTGAAGTTGTTGAATAGATGAAGTGAAGCTGAAACTAAGCTTAACTGTCAAAACGAGCTGAATGTATTTAAAGATTTAGAAGCAAAAATCACCAACAAGTGTAATAAAGCTCAGAATATACTGTAGGTGAAGAATGGATACAAAATGCTAAACAGCAGAAAACTTTAATCTTTGAACATTTATTAAAAACTTGAAATTTGAAACGTTAAACAGCTGGCATTTGAATGAGAATAGTTTAACGGGTACATTTTTACAATTGGCTGAACTGTGAATTTAGAAATATTAGCTGATATCTGAAACTGATAGATTAACAGATGTTCAGATTTGATATGGGATGGATGAATGGTTGACTGAATGAAATAACAGATGGATTGTTGGATGGATCATTGTTAGATGGTTTATTGGATGGATGGATAGAAGCATGTATGGATTTATATGTAGATGGATGGATTCCTTAGGCCAAGCCGATCAGTTTGATGTCTCACATGCGTGGGTGTGTAATTCCATTTAGCCAGAAGATGGTTGTCGTCTCTCAACCAATCAGGGAGCTGGGAGGGAGCGGGGCACTTTCCCACCTTCTGACGGTCAATCAAATTGAACTTATTTCTCGTTTTAAGTACAAACAGTTCAAAAAGATCAAATCAGAAGTCTGTTAATGGCTCAATATTCTGCTTTTTATATTCATTCCTATGAGACTTGGTTAAAGTGATTTGTAGTTCCTTGTGTTGCCATGGTAACAGATAACGCATTTAAAATTGAATACAAGATTCCTGAGACCAAACTGGTCGATTTGATGCGTCATTTGTGTGGGTGCTGGATCCTGATTGGACAGAAAATGGTTGAACACTCTCAACCAATCAGAGAGCAGCACTGCCTTTTCCCCCAGCTATTTTTAGGCCTGCAGCTGTACTCCTGTTAATGAGAGAAGCCTTTAAATCTGTCCTTCAGAAGTGAAATTGGACCTGTCAAACTTCTCATCACCATTCGAAAAGTACTGCACTGATTTGTCAAATTCAAAAAGCGTGAGTGGCAGAAGAGGGTTTGGTACATGAAAGCAGAGATTCGAGAGTTTTGCGAGAGGAAAGGCAAAGACATTCCAGAGCTCTCAGATGAGGATTGGATGGCAGATTTTGCATTTGCTGTAGATGTGACTGCACTGATGAACGAACTGAACACCAAACTGCAAGGCAAGGGCCTTATTGTTCATGAAATGCACAGCCTCGTGAAGGCCTTCATGAGAAAGCTGCAGTTTCTTTCAAGTCAACTGGAGAGCAACACTCTCGCTCACATGCAAACCCTGAACGAAGTAGGGTCGTCATGGTGTGAAAATGTAACCTCACGGTTATTGTGACCAAAATTACCACGGTTTTCGGTATTATCGCATTTTTTTAAACATGCTACATTTTCCCACAATTAAATAAACCCTGTATGTCAGGAAATATTGTCCTCAGTTTGTGTCTAAATTCTGCCTAAAATGTGTTATTTTGTAATTATGTTGTTTATTTGTTTACATGTTTCCCCTTTAGTCTTTAAAATACCAATATTTGCCCATAACTTCTTATTTTATGTCTGTTTGATGTCATCATTTTAAAAATATTAGATCAGATGATACTCAGTACTCAAGTAGCCTTCTAATCAGATACTTTTTTACCCTTACTTGAGTAATAAACCCTATATCAGGAAAATATTGTCCTCGGTTTGTGTCCTTCCAGTGAGCTTTGCAGATGTGGGAAAATGTCATCAGGCAGTAATCATTGTTAAATTCATAATTATTCTCGGAGAGAGACCAACTCTTATCTGCCCCTGGGAGCCCCGTAATGCATAGCGTCATTTCAATATGGGGGTGTCCGCGACACGGTTTATATGCAGGTAGCGGCGCTGCGGCTGCTTTATATAGCCACTCGTTGCATTCTCCCTCAACCCAAATCCTCGGATCACGCATTTTAGCTAAAACGCTAACGTTAACTTGCCTTGCGTTGACTGTAGAGTTGTGGGTGATGGTCACGCAGATGTGTCATGAGATTTGAAGCATTGCTGCCTTTCACAGGCACTTTTTCTGCGCGTGCTACAAACAGGATAGCCGTCTTCTATAAACTGTCCCTCGGCATTCTTCACATATCCAAAAGATGCCCGTACTTCCCACTTTGTCTTCTTTGAGGGATAAAAAAATGTCCTCCTGAGCACTGCTGTCTCCTCCTCTGACCATTATTTCAGCTTTAGCTTCAAGAAAGTTTTGGTTGTAAACATCAAAGCGCACATGTGCTGCCGGCAACTTCAACAGATGATACGGTGGCTGGTAAGGGTCACCGCGCCTACACCGCAGCCACGGTAAACCCACCAAGATAATATAGTTTTTTAAAAACAAGACGGTTATTATTATTGTCAACTTTTTTTACCGGGGTTTACCGCTACACCGGTTACCGTGACAACTCTAGAATGATGTCACACCATCAGCTGATCACCTCAGCAGGTACTCATCCATGTTAGGAGCATTACATGGTGAGTTTTCAAGGCGTTTTGAAGATCTCAGAACAGTCGAGGATGAAATGCACGATTTCCTCTCCCTTTACCTGCAGTGTGGATAATGCACCCAGTGATATGCAGATGGAACTCATTGACCTGCAGTCTGATGCAGTACTGGCAGAGCACTTTAAGTCAGGATCTCTGCTGGATTTCTACTCTTCTCTTAAGCAGGAGAACTTTCCAAACCTGAAGAGACATGCTCAAAAGACATTGGTTCTCTTCGGCTCTATCTACATTTGTGAACAAACATTTTCAATGATGAAGTTTACAAAATCCAGGTATAGATCCTCTCACCGATGATCATTTGTCAGCTGTGCTTCGCATCACCACCTCAGACATTCAACCTGACTTTGATGCACTTGTTAAAGCCCAGCAGAGACTTGATTTCTCTCACTGAATACGAAAAAAATTGCTTAAAAACACAAAATAAGGTGTTTGGACCAAAAATGTAGGCAACTAGCAGTGAATTGGGACACTTATTTTTTAAACCTCTTTCTCAAGATCACAGTTCAGTGATTTTATTTTACAGACAATACTGTGTGTCTGTAGAATGCTAAGAACCTCTTTCCAACAATATTTGAAACTCAAAATGTGTTTTGGAGTGAATGTGACTGAAACTGTTAACTAATATAAGTCACAAATGTTTAAGAAAAACCAAATGTGCACACTTTGTTTACCATTGCCTTGGGAAATTTGAATAAATCACATTTTTGTAAGCCAACCTCACTTTTTCCTTTTTGCTCATTTATAACATATAGTCTACTCTTACCAGCTTGAAAAAACGATGGTATTTACTGCTTTTTATAAAGAAATACCATTAATATTATGCATAATTGACTTCAGCCTTTTGGCCTAGCCCTCCACAATATTTTCTGTTTCTCATGTGGCCCCATGGAAAAAATAATTGCCCACCCCTGATCTACTTTATCAAGTGCATTTTTTAAGTGCATTCAAACTGACATTTAGTTTTCAGTGCAAGCATTGTTGAGAAGTCATTTTTAAAATAATGCCATTTGAACAGTGCACATAAGGATATACCTGTTCCAGATGTTGAACAACGGCAGAGTACCCTCGCAAGAAATGGTCCAAGGCCGTCAACAAGTGTGATACCCAGTGGGTGCCTGTCGCTCTGGTGGGCATCAGGGGTTTCGTTCCCAGGGATTCGAACGAGGCCTTCAAGTTCGCCCGATTGAGAGGACTGCAGTGGTAGAATGTGTAGAGTCCAGTAAGGAGAGCATCCAGCTTCTTGTGGCATGGATTCTTCGAGGCAGCATCCTTAAAGCTAAGCTCAAGTCTATGGGGCATACAATGAACGGGCAGCACATGGGGCAGGTCTGCTGTCAATCTTGTCACCACGCCACTCTTTCCTCCAAGCATGACTGCAGCCCCGTCTGTTGACACAGCGACAAGTTTCTTCTTCCAGGTGCCTTCCTCCACACCAAGACCTTTACACACACCGGCTGTTATGGCAGACGTGATGTTTTCAGCATTAGCTTTTGTGACTGCCTCAATACCCAGGAACTGGACACAGATTTGTCCTTTAACTGCTTGTCGGCCATAGATGAGCTCTTCTTCAATGACAGCACTGTCAGCACAGCCATCTGACATCAGAGAAAGAAACTTTCCAGCTGCAAATTCTTCTTGCACTCTCTGCTTCTCTGCCTGGGCTATATACCCAATGAATGTTTTGGGGTGCTTTCTGGTTCGGTACGTTTCGCCTATCTCCATGCCCTTCTGCTCATCTAAACTGAAAGAAAAAGCAAATTACATTTCATACATTCAATTTTGACAGACAGTCTTTAACTGTGCTAATGCACATATCTCTCACATTGGAAAGATGGCAGTAAAAAAAAAATGGAATAAGAAAAGGTGGGGAAAAATAAAAAAAATGGAATAATGAAGAAAAGGTGAAAATAATTAAAAGGAACATTTTTTGAAGAAAATCTTTAATAAAAATCTTTAAAAAAAGAAGAAACAGAAGATGGCAGTTAAACAGGATTTATTTAAAAAAAAATCAAAGATGACTTACAGACAGTGCATCTTTTCTGGTTCTTTTTTTCTCCATCAAACAAACAATGAAATGGACAAAAACACATTGTTAAACAGAACAAACCCAGTATTTTGATAATTTGTTAAGCAAATAATACTTGCTCGCACATCCAACTGAAGTCTGTGTATGGCCTTCCTTTCTTTGCAATGGCGTGAGCCGTACGAAACAACTTTTCCAGTTTGTCTTGCTGTGCTTTCGTCATCCCCACGAGGGCCTTTGCAGCTGGCGACTCTCCTACCGTTGCTGCATTTGCAAGACAAGTCTTTTCTGCCTTCATTTGGCTCGCTGTTTTTTCGTGGTCTTTAACATATTCAAGTTTGAATTTGTTTGTTCCCTCAACAAAACTCGATTTTGTCGTCGCATACTTCCGGCATACAACGCAGTACATCACCTCCTCCGATTTGCTGTACTCGAGCCATCCTCTGCACCTCCCGTCTTCATTAAACCGCCAAGAATCATTCCGCCTACGCACACGCTTCTGTGCTTCATACCATTTCGAACTGTCTCGCTTCTCCTCATCAGTTTAAAGCGTTTTGCTGGAGGTTTTCATCAAGAAATCCCATCCTGCGTGCTTGTGTGTTTCTAGTGTGGTTCCACTCCGTCTTTTATAGTGACCTTATAGTTCGCGTGACTAGAGGCGTGCAGTACGTGCACGATTCATGCACGTACTGCACTTGTAGGTGCGTGACTAGAGGCGTGCAGTACGTGCACGATTCATGCACGTACTGCACTTGTAGGTGCGTGACTAGAGGCGTGCAGTACGTGCACGATTCATGCACGTACTGCACTTGTAGGTGCGTGACTAGAGGCGTGCAGTACGTGCACGATCCATGCACGTACTGCACTTGTAGGTGCGTGACTAGAGGCGTGCAGGTTCACGTGCGCGAAACGAAAATGGCGGCTTCCTACAGGGCGCGGCCATGATGTAGGTGAAAGCTGGTGTGTAAATGACAAACAAGGCTTGGGCGCCACCCGAGCGGTAAGTCGTCAAGTATTTACCGCCCGACAAGAAACTTTAGCGCCATTGGCGCTCCGGTGCTTTAAAAAGTCCACCACTGATTTTCCTTTAAATCGTCCCACTTCCACTGCCAAAGGGAGGTTGCCCATTCTTATTTGAGCACAGAGAGATCTTTGTCTTCTTGTTAACTTACGTTTGAGATATAATTCTGTATTATAATCCCTTTTAAATTGTACTTGATTTCTAAGTTTTGGTTTATTCCAAATATCCTTCTTCCATTGTTCACTGTATTTTACATCCAACTCCTGTCTGACACAAGTAATGTCACATTTTAAGTTATTTTGAATAATTATGCCCATGTCTAAATTTACTAAAATAACTGAAATATCTCTGAACCACGGGTGAAAATTTGTTTTATCCCAGTTAAATATTTTCTTAGTTAACCTTTCCTCTGGAAGACTAACAAGACGGTTCCATAAACGAACCATTTCACAACTCTGTTTATCTATACACGGAACCCATCCTGCGTCCCCCTCCACAGCTAACTTTGCTGCAAATTTATGCACACCCAGAAAGCATCTTAATGCTCAGTGTTGAACAGAATTACACTCAAATGTTTCTTTGGAACCCCAAACTCCTGCAGCATAAAATAGAACTGGGTCAACCAACGATTCATAAAGTTGTGTAAAAATGGAAAAACCAAGATCTGGGCAAGATTTCATTTTGCTTAGCAAACCCCCTAGAGCTCTTCCCGCAGAATCTGCTAGTAATTTCTTTCCTTCCTGAAACATCATATTCTCATCCAAAACAAAACCTAAATATTTATAAGATGAGGTAAACTTTAAGGAATCATCACCAAAATAAAAGGTGCAACTACTCTGAGGAACCCTCTTCCTTCTAAAGTGAGTCACCCGCGTATTCTTATTATTAATAGCAAGGCGCCTTTTTTTTTTTTACACCAGAGATACATAGTTTCTATCATAGTTAACCTACTCAATTTACACTACCAAGTCCAACTGAATCAGCAGTGGGGAAATTTTGCTTTTTACAAGGACGTGGTAACAGCAATAAACAAATACGCAGTCTGTTTCACCATATGTCACATCATACTGGAATCGCCATGTTCCGGATATCAACTGGAAGGCAATATGGATGATTCGCCACAAATATTTGTTAATAAAGTAAAAGAAGTGTCATTTAAAATCCTTCATAAAATTTACCCTGCAAAACACTACATGGTGAAGTTTAAAAGAGAAATTAATGTTAATTGCAGTTTTTGGGGAGGTCATCCAGAAACTGATAATCATTATGTTTTGGCGCCGCTCTTTCACACAAAGGTTTTGGAAGGAGTTCAGCAGGTTTATTATTCAGCATATTTTTAAGGATTTTTCTTTAAGATGTCAAAATGTGTTATTCTGTTTTTTTGTGCTCCCAAAAAGTATAAGTCTTTTTTGTAATAAACTTGTTACTTCTCTTGGCTAAATTCCATGTTTATAAATGTAAATTTGCTAATAAGATGCCAGCATGGACGTCACTAGGATTGATATATGGGGGGGCTTAGCCCCAGGAGCTTGACCTTGAACATTTTTTGTCACACCCTGCAAAAACTTTGTCAATTAATTCATTATATGAAGAACACTTAACAAAACCTATTATTTTATCACTTTCTTTTCCTTTCCCATCTTTGTGCATTTCCTCTCTTCTTTTTATAAAAAATAACACTTAATCAGTTCATTAGTGGGGTCTATGTTGAAGAAAGATTTTATGTAAGTCCATTAAAAATTAGATATGTTATATTTCCAAATAAAGCTATTCATTTCAGTCTACTGCACTTAACAGGGGGAAATGTTGTAGTCATTTATTTAATTTGTTTAATTACAACTTGTTTGATTATAAATGTTACTGAAATGTGACAATAAAGAACAAATGAATAATTGTCAAACTTTTATTCTGCCAAATGAGTGTACAGTTGACAGTTTTAATATATGAATAACACTGCTATGATATGGAATAAAGGAGTGTGTAATTAACTATTACAAGACAAAATAACAGTATATATGAAAATATCCAGCAAGTAGTAGAACTTATAATACAGAAAGTCAACTATACAGATACAACTTGACATAAGGTTGCAGGTCAGATGATAATTATAGTTTTTTTTTCTCAAGTTCTCTTAACTGTTCACTCCTAAATAGAAAACTGTTCAATTTTGCTTGGGAACTTTGTGCTCAGGTAAATGCTCATAACGGTGCACTCGCCCCTGTTTTCACTGTAGATCACTGACCTCGACCATGCAGATCTCCTCAGCATCAACCACCTGGTCTCTCTCCTGTTCCTCACTCACTCTCTTAAAAAATCTTCGTATATCCATCTAGCCAACACATTGAAAAACTTTTTCAATTTCTAATGCCAAGTCAAATGCTACTATGCCATTTAGTTTTCACTCACAATAATTGAAACAGCCATTGGTGGATAAATGGGACAGAATATGGACAACTGTTAGCCTAATATAGCCTATGTTTGGTTGCTCATGATGATGGCATTTTCCATAACGTCACATTAAGCTGCCAAAATTTATGTTAAAGTTAGACGAGTACAATATCTCCTTTCTTTCCCATAGGTAAACAGGAAATATTAAGCAACTGACAACCCACATGGAAAGAAGTCATAAACATATAGGTTTTAATATAAGTTTTGATGAAGCTTTTGAATATATGTGACATATATAAAACTGGCTGTTTATTATATTATAGATACATATATGCACCTATACTATATCATATATATATATATATATATTATAGAAAAAATATATAATATAGAAAAATGGTCAATAATATACATATTCGGCCATATTCTGATTCAGGTTTTTAGTGTGGAGTGAATTTTGTGCCACCAACTGGAGCGTGCAGTGATCAATCTGCAAGAGTAACACCTGCTCTGCAGTCATATGCAGCCCTCTCTCTGCATGCTCAACTCCATCTCTGCCGGGCCAAATCTCCCTGTTGTTGCTCAATTTGCAATTTACAAAGCAATGTAGCCTCTCCATCAGCCAATCAGACAGCTCTCCATTATGCAATCAAAGCATGTCCAGGAAATACTGCCAGGAAAATTGCACTTTTTTCAGATAAAGACGACTTTATATAGTTATATTTAATTAGGTTGATTAGCCCTCCTCTTTTCCTGGGACATTTCCACTGTTCACTTCCTTTTACACATCAAGGGATCATTTATGTCTTAACCAAACAGAGAAGAAACACTTTATATGTTGAAATTAAAAGTCCTTTTTAACTGAAAAGAGTGCAATTTAACAGTTTTAGGAATAGGCAATGTGTCTTTTCTGGAAGTCAAATATGGTCACCCTAATCATGACACATGAATTACAACAAAGTATTTTGCAGGCAGTGGATGGTGACTGGTAGCTAACCAGCAGCAGAAAGCAGTTCAATAAGCTGTTAAATGGGTGTTTTTCTGTAAAGCAGTGTTTCCTGGACATGCTTTGATTGGATAAAACAGAGCTGTCTGTGATTGACTGTTGGAGAGGCTACTTGTTGAAAGAAGGGAGAGATTTGCATGCGCAGAGAGAGTTGAGCCCACAGAGAGGGCTGCAGCTGCTGCACACAAGCGCAGAGCAGGTTCTGTTTGTGCAGACTCATTACTGTAGCTCAAGTTGGTGGCACTAAGTCACTCAATGAACTGGCTGACCCATTAATCATGTCACTTCAGGGGAGTTTTCCGACCATTTTAATTGACATCAAAGCTTTTCATTATGGTTTGCGGCATGTAAACATGCTAGCGGAGTTAGCATTAGCATGTCGGTGCGGTAGCATTTTCCTCTCTCTGAAGTCTGAACTATAACCTTGAAATATTAACGGTGTGCTGGCCCCGCCCCCTGACTTGTCAACAAAGCTGCGGGAAGTGGAGGAAGTTCTTTCTTGATACTTCCTGTGTGCGACGGTGTAGTTCTATATTCATTAATTATTATTTCTGTTTCAGACTAAAAAACTCATGTACCAACTACACATGTCGTGATTGTGTTGAGCATGTAGATGTGAACAAATAAAAAAAAGTTAACTGAAAAAAAATCAAATAAAATAAACCAAAATGATAGGGGGGCTTGTGATTATTTTAGGGGGTAAAACGGACCTAACGACGTCAGCGAGATGCCATATTTTCCGTATTTTCTTAAAGACGTAGAACTATATATAAATCTAATTTCTCAATATGTTAAAAAAATGGCTCTCAAAAAATTGATATTTGTAGATTTTTACATATATTTGTATAATTAATCCCCCTGGCTGAATGTTCTGTTAAATATATTCTTCTGTATGTATATTGCTTGTGTTCTCTTGATGTATACTTGCACTTTGTTAAATAAAGTAAAAAAAATAAATAAAAAAAAGTTAAACCCGTTTTCTCTTACCGAAATAGCCAATCGTAGTAGAGCCCTTCCAGCCAATCAGAGGCGAGAAAGGCGGGACGTTCCTTGGACATCCTAGAATTCCAAATGACGCTGCCGGCGATCTGCATGCAGCAGCATAGATGTATATATAAACGTTGCAAACTTTGCAAAGCAAGAATTTGGTCTAGTTCACTAGGCTAGCTGTGTTTTCCAGAGATCAAGGGCTATGACCCAAATGAGGCTGTAATGCTTTGGCACAAAGACAGTGTCGGACGCAGGCCAGACTTCATGGACAGAGAAAACAAGGAGTCTGACTAGATTTCAATGAAAGAGTTCATAAAAACATCTCTAAAAATAAATAAATAGTAAAAATGACAAGAGTTGTTTTTCTTATTAATTGATGTTTTAATTATTTTGTCACTCTGTTTGGAATCAACATAATACAGAATTACATGCTTTAGGTAGATCTAAATCATTTAGAATTTTGGCCGGTAAAAAATATGCTTGGCCGGTAGATTTTCATCATCTACCAGCCAACTTGGCCTGTGAGTAAAAAAAAATAATTTCGGACCCTGTCTCAACCTGAATAACATGCAGATAGCCGGGACACATGGTTCACAATTAAGCCATTTTCAAAAACAAAAGCGTTACTTTCAACATGTGCAAGTATGCTGTCTCAAGCCCAAGTCTTCTAAGGTTTGTAATAAAGCAAACCGCTTGTAAATCCGTTAATATTTCATCGAGTTAAGGGTGTTTTTGTTTAAGCTGATCACTCACCTTTCAGCTGCTACCATTGAGAGCGGAGGGGCCTGTTGTCTGAGGTAAGATGGCCGCCGTTTAACTACGCCCTCAAGTCCCGCTTTCGTGATCTGGTGTTAATATACATATCTATACGCAGCAGCACCTATGCGTTTGGTTCGATTACGTCACTTCCCCCGATGCGCAGTTGTAGTCCTGGACTTATTTTCTCACAAAATCTAAAATAACGTTTTCCTCCATTCAAAAATAAGCGGGTTCTTGGTATCAGCATGCGTATTTAAAATTCACGGACGTAATATGTGAAATCCGTGGCACAAAAGGAGCGGAATTAGAAAACAGCTATATATGTCTATGCTTGGGTAGCTCTGGAGTGGAATCTGGCTTTACTGCAGTACTCCAGTCCAATAGGGGGTGCTGAAACGTCATTAAACCGAAGAAGAAAAGGAGCCGGAAAAAGGAAAATCGGGGGCCTGAGCTTCTTACGTTACATTTACTTATTTCAAAGTGATAGCAAACATTGTGTAAAAAGCAACACCGAAAGCATGCCTTTACCAGTTCAAGTGTTTAACTTTCAGGTAAGTGAAATAATCACCATGTATTACAATTCGTTAAGGTAAATATTGTTGGCAACTACGTTAACGAAGCTGTGAACAACTGCAAGACAGCTAAAGGTAGTGTTCGCTGTCACATGCTGCTTAAGAAACACTCATGTGTGATTCACCTATGATTAATAACCGCTAACGCATGGGTCCTGTATCAGAGTAACTTATATAAAAAATGGCATCAATAACTCACCGAATTTTCAGTCATGGCTAAGCAAAGCCACGCAAACGAAACGGGGATTTTTTTAAAGATTAAAATATCCTAAAAGGAACAATGATTTATAAGTTGAAATTCAGATTTACTTGCCGTCGTTTTTTTTTTTATTTGGTCGGAATAATTTTGTAAAATTAAGCGGAACAACCGCAGGCCTCTACTAGCTAGCTAACAACACGCTGACGAAAACAGTCCTGACGATAGCTAAAGAAAACATATGAAAACATAAGTGTGCTCAGGTGGTCCATGTCTAAAGTTGGTCTTCGATGGCTAGAGCTGACCAGAGCTAGAGCTCGCCAGTTATGCTAGCCGTGTAGGAACAAATCAGATTTAATCATGCTATTGTTTATGCTAAATCTTTCCCAGATGTGGATATTTGAATTAACGTTGCAGTTGTTTTGCAGTAATTTTAAAGAGGTATTGGGCAATCCTTTTTGGTATTAGTTTAGTTATTAGTGTAACGTTGGTGTTTTTCTTAATTATGTTTAGTTTAGGGCTGCAACTAACGATTATTTTCATAATCGATTAATCTGTCGATTATTTTTTCGATTAATCGATTAATAGGTTTGTTATTGTTTAGCTATTTAACCTATACAAGTGATGGATGCATTTCAGTTAAGAAAAAAAAAACATAAGAGAATTGTGCAGTTGACTGCAATCTATTTTATTGCACATGAACACAGTCAGCAGTATAAAATGAGCTAAACAGTGCAAAATATCAGTCCAGAATAATTTTTTAGCATTAGCTGGAAGCCTGCTCCTTCCACCATGGATAGTGGCCTCATGTCTTTTACCAGCATGTTTAGAATAGAGCTTGTAAGTGGTATGAATTGCTGGGGGTGAGTGTCTTGTTCCCCATGTAGTTGTCCATCGTTGCTTGTTTTTTTCTGCATAAGAAACACAAATAGACTGAAATAAGTACACATATAAAATAAAGCAGCACACACACTACAACACTAAATCAATATATTATTTGAATTAATTAACATTATACAGTGATCATTTATTTTGAGGGTTACGTTCTACAAAATAGCCCGCAACAGGAGATATTCAGAAAAAATTCTAATTTTTTTACTATTAAAAAGCTCTAAGTAAGAAGCTCATGAGGTTTTTACTTTGAGTCGGGAGTGTTTAAATTAGCTAGAGAAATGTGAAAAATGTTTATTTTGTGTAATACTGTTTAAGAAACATGATAAAAATGTGTTGTGAGGCGTTTTACAGCGTTAGATAGTAAAACAGCCTTTTAATAGTAAAAAATGACTTTTTCTGAATTTCTCCTGTATTTAAAAATTGAAAGTGTACAACTATGCTGCGTTATATTCACCTGGACACAGCTCGTCTGTATATTTTTCACCGCGGAGTTGTCCTTTTTTGAATGAGGAACATAGTTATGGGTTTGTGCCGTTTTTCTCTTAACGAGAACATTCTTATAAACAGACGTGCTGAATTTGGCAAGCGCATGACACACAACACGGAGGAGATTCACGATTGCATCTAGTCAATCAGAAGTAGAACACCGTAGACTGACGCGGCAAAAAAACATGTTTAACATCCACTATAACAAACTAAGCTAAAACACTAAGTCCAGCTTGTTTATTTTCTGTTACTTACCGGGCTGGCTCTTCCAAATGACGGCTCACTTGACCGCGGTGTTCTTCCTCTGCTGCATCAGCCCCCACGTTTTCGTCTCAAATGTTCACTTAGGGACGTCGTGCTTCCGTGCCATGCTAGATGGTTTTTGTATATTTTGAAGGTCACCCGTCTTTTCAAGGCATCTAGAGTGAAGTGCTCCCATACTCGTGAGGTTTTTGTCCGGGGTTTCTCTTCAGTTTTGTTGCTTCTATTTTTCTTCCGCATTTCCTCTTGTTCCGCCATCTCTCACAGCAAGATGAGCGTCAGTAACGTGATACGTCATGAAAACCGAGGGCACTCATTGGCTCATTTCTTCTTCTACGGCTCCACTGGTAGATCAGTGGCTTATTACTGCCACACACTGGTGGCAAATTTAACAGCTTGTAACCGATGTCAGATTGTGGTAAAAATAGACTTCATGCGGTAAAATATGATTATTAAACAACTAATCGATGACTAAAAAAGTTGTTAACTATTTTAATAATCGATTATAATCGATTAAATCGATTAGTTGTTTCAGCTCTAGTTTAGTTCTGTATTCAATCATGTTGTTTGTTGAACAAGAGGGTAACATTTGTTGGGTCTTTTTTTTTCTCAGGGGGCCGTGGAGCCAATGCAGATTGATGCAGAGCCTCAATATGACCAACAGAATGCTCCAGATATCAACTACATTGTTGAGAATCCAACACTGGTACTGATCACTCACCCTAGTAGCATCTAGAAATGCACTGTCACTATCGAAGAACTAGATTTAATTAAAACATGCATTCATCAACACAAGAAAATAAACCGAAACAGAAGATTGCATGCAGGGCAGGGTGATATGGGCTCAATTCCAAATCATGTTAGCCCCGTTTCCATTACCGGAATGCCAGGGTAGTTCCTTGGATTGGGAAATTGACCAGGAGATATGATGTCCCAGTCCTCTCAGCTGTTGTCTCCATTCAAATTCAGCCCTTTCAGAACTTTGCACAGACAGCATATCGAGACTGCTTTGGCAGTGAATGATGTCACTGATCAGCATCAGTAACATTATTAATATTAAAGCATTTATTCTGTCGAAGTATATCATAATTTAATCCTTACAGAGGGTGTGAGCAGCTGTGTGATGTAAAATGTGGTGTTCAATGACCAGATGAGGTGCCATTTTTTATGGTACTCTATGAGACAACAAAGCCCTGTTAATTAAGTATGTGGGAAATTTTCCCAGTTTTATTCCAGTGTGGGAGTTTAGTAAAGACTGTGGGGGAATTTCGCCATGTTTTCTGGTGTCTGGAGATAGATTTTAATCATAATCTGTGCTCATTTTCCTTTGCCCTCAGTCTACTTCATCAGCATCTTTTCTAATTTTATTAATGCCGGTTGTTTTGGACATCTGCTGGTGTTGTTTCCTACTTAGTTACAACCATTCAGTGTGAGTTAACCAAAGGTTCTGCTCAGCTACTACCAGGCTTTTCGGAGAACCGACCCCCTAGCAGGTACTCAGAAGGTTCCTGAAAACGGCCGACCTGGTCAGGTGAAGACCAGGCCCCCATAATTCTGGGGTGAAAATGAAGCCAACATGGAAGTGGCAAAAATTGCTGTTCTACCCTCCTCCACTAGGAGCTGGCAGCAGAAATGAGCAAATCCTTGTTAACTCCCACTTTAAAAATGCCATTTTCACAGCAGAAATAAGCATGTTTACTGCCTGGTTTAACAAATTATTTTAGGTCTTAATCTGGTTTACATTCATAACAACTCTGAGGGAGATGAAATTTTTTGTAACTCTTCTGTTTAAGTGTAATTGATGCTTAAAATTCTGAATGATTAATGAGCATCAGAGCTAGCTCTGGGAAAAGGCCTCAGCCTCCCCTTCATTGATGTTTGGGCCATTTCGACTCTCTGAACTTTAGTTTTGTCTGTGTGTTTGTGTTCGTGTTTGGGTGTTAATCATTGAATTATTTGAACACAGAGAACAACGATATTGTATTTTATTTTATTTTTTTATTGTAGAGACTTCAACACGGGCAAAATTGTCCCTCATTCTCCTCCACTTCTTCATGCGCTCGCCACCTCTTAACCTACCTTTGCCGTCTTTTCCGTCCACGAATAAAACGCTTGCTGCACATTTTTTCACTCCTCTGGTCACGGGGGAATAAACGTTCATATTTTTAGAGTTTTTCTGCGAAATATTCTTCAAGCTTTTCCGTGCCTGCTCTATTTATTTTATGAGGGCGCAATGGTGGCGCTGTAGACGACAGCGGTGTCCTGACCAATCAGAAGTTTGCGTTCTCTGTCTTGACGGACAGATGTTCAGGAAAGAGAGCTAGATTCTGTCTGTCTTTGTGAGGGCTCTACAGCAGGCTTGCAAGGACGGATAATGGTGTTGCGTGCATCCGTCCCGACGCAGGAGAAGTATAAATTAGGCTTTAATTTAATAGTCAACACGTCATTTATTTTATAAAAACATTTTTAACCCCGCCTGCTACACATTCGGTGGTTGCTTCCTGCCTCTGCTCAACGCTGCTTTAGCTCAGAGGTTTATGCACAGTAGAGGCCACCCACATCAACCTTTGTCATCGGAGAAGGAAAACACGACGAGTCGGCAACGTAGCTCAAAGGTTCAAGTTTATTTATATAGCGCCAAATCACGACAAGAGTCGTCTCAAGGCACTTCACATAAACATTCCAATACAGGTCAGTTCATTAAGCCAATCCGTAAAACGTTTCTTATATAAGAAACCCAGCAAATTGACTGTTGTCAGTGACTTTACAGCAATCCTCATACTAAGCAAGCATTTGGCGACAGTGGAGAGGAAAACTCCCTTTAGGTTTAGGAGCAAAGACAAAAGAAAAGCACATAGAGTGCAAACTGCAAAGTGAAACTCTCCTTTCACGGGAGCACACCGGCGAAGCACCTCAAGAGGAAGCACGTCATGGTGGAGAGCAGAGTTGCCTCAATAAGTTTACCTCTTCTTGGCTGCTAACATAGGTGTAGCAACACCAGTAGCGGTGGCGATTTGATTACCTTCAGAACGCGTTTGCATGTCACGTATTTTTGCTCTAATTGCAAATGCTAATGATATATTTCATCCCACTACGTTACAGTGTTAATAAAAGTGCTCCTCATCAATGGACGAGTTTGATACGTGCACACCTCAGCAAGCTAACGTCCTGACCAAGGCCGTTGTGAGCATGTTGGTCACGAGACTCCTGTCCATGGTCGGTATCAAGGTTTCACGGGGATGATCAAGCAGTTCAACCCAGGATACTATGACAGCTATCTACCAGACCAATACCATTTCACCACAGTAATGGAAAAGAAATATAACAACTTTAAGGTGTGTGTGTGTGTGTGTGTGTGTGTGTGTGTGTGTGTGTGTGTGTGTGTGTGTGTGTGTGTGTGTGTGTGTGTGTGTGTGTGTGTGTGTCCAACATGTCTGTCTCTGTTTCTCTCTGCACACAAGCAAAATAAACATTAGAATATATTTTTATGGTAAGATTGAAGACAAGACTGAGCAATAAAGAAACTAATATTTTTTAAAGCATAATATATTTTCTTTGTGTTAAATTTTAACCTACTTTATTTGATATAACAGAATTATTAATTTGGTAAATAAACTAACTTGAATATATTAGCTTAACTGTAAAGCAGACCCTCAGAGCTGTTAATGCTCCTCTGACCCTGACTGCTGATGTGTGGACCAGCTGTGCTACAGAGGTGTTCCTTGGTATGTAGGGTTGGGCAATGAGCATCGTTTGGAACCGGTTCCAACTGTTAGTTTTTCCCAGAATCGTTCAAAGTTTTTTATTTCAATTCCTAGTTTCGACTCCCTAGTATGCCGACTGGAAGAGGAATCCGCGGCCGATCTCCGTGAAAAATAAACGTGATCTGCAAATTGTGATCAACTCTTTTCAGAGCTGATCACACCAGCTGTCTGTGTGCAGCACCGAGTCCCCCCTCCCCCCACCCAGATATAAACAAACGCGTCTGCCGAACTTTTACTCCGTGATGTAAACTTTAACTCCTGCAGCGTAGAGGAAACGTGTTAAATAGGTCAACATGGTGGATTTAATAGAAGCTTTAAAGAACAAACTCTGGACGGTGTGAGGTGAGTTTGTCTCACTGCAGAAATAACAACACACACGGAGCGTCAGCAGTCAGACGCAGCCAGCTACATTTAAGTTTCACTTCCTGTTCTGACTGAATGCTGCTGCAGCATGGAGGTGTAGTTCTCAATCATCCTGGACATGATCATCCTGAGAGTTTTAGCTGAAAACAGCTGGACGTTCCTGGATATGTTGGAGACATTTAGCCTCTCATCCCAGAGGCTTCTTCCAGACTTTGGTTGTGGTCAGAAACAAACACACTGGTTGTGCTGCAAGTCTGTTTCTTTTTTTCTCCAAAACATGTTTTTGTCTAAATGAAGGTGATGTTGTTGTTCATAGAGTTAAAATTCATGTTGAAGTTAAGATTATTTCATCAAGTAGGACCTGTGGTTGGCTAGCTCATGTAAAACATGTCATGTCTTCAAAGAATCGTAATCGAAACAAGGAATCGGAATTGGAATTGTTCAAAATCAAATGATTCCCAACCCTATTGGTATGTCTCCCTCTCTCCAGCCGAGCGACATAGTTCCTCCAGCATGTCCTGGGTCTTCCTTTGGTTTTCCTCCTGGTTGGACGTGCATAGAAAACCTAACCAGGGAGGCCTCCAGGAGGCATCCTAACTAGATACCCGGGTCACCGCAACTGGCTTTTCTTGATGTGGAGGAGCAGCGGATTTACTCCGAGCCCCTCCTGGGTGACCAAGCTTCTCACCCTATCTCTAAGAGAGAGCCCATTCATCCTTTGGAGAAAAAAAACTCATTCAACCACTTGTATCTGCAATTTCCTTCTTTCAGTGACTATCCAAAGCTTGTGACCATAAGGTGAGGGTGGGATTGTAGATCAACCAGTAAGTCAAGAGCTTTACCTTCCAGCTCAGCTCTCTCTTCACCATAACAGACCGGTCCAATGCCCACATTACTTCAGATGCAGCACCAGTCTGCCTATCAATCTCCCAATCCAACGTTTCCCTCACTCATGAACAAGACCCTGAGATACTTAAACTCCTCCACTTGGGGCAAAACCTCATCCCTGACCTGGAGTAGGCATTCTACCCTTTTCCAACCATGATCTTGGATTTAGAGGAACTGATTCTCATCTCAGCTGCGAACCTCTCCAGCTAAAGCTGGAGATTAAGTCTGATGAGGCCAACAGGCCCACATCATCTGCAAAAAGCAGAGACATGATACTTACCCCTACTGCACACTGGAAGCATCAGCAGTGCGGAACAGCAGCAGAACGGTTTTCTCATGACAATCACAGCACTTCAGTGCACACCTAGAGATTGTCAGCAGCAAAGCGGCTTTTCTGCCATGCTCCTTGCTCGACTCGCAAGATCACAAAATCCCTTGAGACATCTGCCTTCGAGATGTCAACGGTTACGGTTTGTTTATGCCATCTGCTATCAAACCAAAAAGAAGGAAATCACGGTATTGCTGTTTGGCATATGCTGTTGTTCCTCTCCACTGTTACGATTAAAGCCATAATTGTTGTTCCACATCACTGATGCTTCCAGTGTGCAGTAGGGGTGGGGTCAGGCCACCAAAACATATCCCCTCACCACTTTGGCTGCATCTAATAATCCTTTCAATAAAAGTTATGAAC